CATTATCTTTATTAAGAAATCTGCATCTCAGGTCAGGTTCCCTAGAACAGCACATGAGACAGGGATTTCAGTGCACATGATTTGCTGAACAAGGCCTCTTTGGGCAAAAGTCTTGTGAATGATCAGGGAAGCAATAGGGAGAGAAGATGTTAATAAAGCAAAGTCTCAGGTCAATTCTAGCTTTGATCCCAACCATGGTGCATCTCTGGAATGTAAAGCTTGGAGATTTCCCAACTCATAGGCCAGGTGGCTATGTCGCCAGAGGACAATCTCCAGAGGAGGGGCAGGAATGAATTAGCAGTCTGTGTGAAAGCTGAGGATGGATGTAGCAGGCAGGTAAATGTATCTGGCTATTGGACTGTATTTTCCCAGTGACTCAACCAAGGCAGTAAATTCAGATTCCATGGAACTGCTGATATGTCAACATATTGCTGGACTGGAAAAAATTTCTATGGCTTCTTAAGTTTAAAAACATTTTTGGAGTATCTAAAGAGTTTAGAAACTGCTGGGGGGACTGATATGGCATGGTTTGTATTGTTGGCTACTATATGGACCAGAAAAGGAAATGCATAGATAGGCCGCTAGGTGGCCAGAGAAAGTATGAGACAGTGTCTGACAGAATCACAGGTGGTATATCATGGCATACAATGTAGGAGTACTTTTTAATTCCAGGGATGGCTGAGAAGAGTCAGAGAAAGCTTTCTTTTCTCCTTCATTTTTCTTTCTTTCTTTCTTTCTTTCTTTCTTTCTTTCTTTCTTTCTTTCTTTCTTTCTTTCTTCTTTCTCTTTCTTTCTTTCTTTCTCTTATTATTTACAAGTAGCTTTTAGTTTTTTAATTAATTCTTTAATTTGGCACTGGGAATTGAACTCAGGACCTCGTGCTTGCCAAGCAGGTGCATGTGCCATTGAACTACATCTCTGGCCCAGAGAAAGCTTTCTGAATGGTGGCCATCGTGGTTGTTCAGATCTCAGATGCCCTCCAAATGTCTCCTGTGTTTGAAAGTTGATTGGATGCTGGCGGCACTATGTTCATCAATGGATTCACCCATTGGTGAGTTCAGCAGTAGCTGAACGTGTGACCAGAGGCAGAACCTGGTTGGAGGTGGGCCACTGGATGCCTGACCTGGAAGGGTGAACTCTCGACCTCAGCTCCTCCCTCATTTCTCTGCTTCCTGGCTGCCGTGAATCAAGGGCCTTTTGCTCTGGTGTAGCCCTGGACCATCCCATTTCTGTCTTGGAGTCAGTAGACCATGGTCTGAAACTGTGAGCCAAAATACACCACTGGTCTTTAGGTTGTGAGTGCTGGCCGTCATGCCCCAAGGATGGGAAGTGACTGAAGCACCGGTCAGTCCAAGGCAGGGCCCTTCATAAAATCCTTCCTGTGGGGCACAAATTGTCACAAATGGATGGCTTCAACCACAAAAATTTATTCTTACAGCTCTGCAGGTCTGAATTCTGAAATTGAAGTGTTGGTCAGTCCATGCTCCTCCACGGCTCTAAGTGAGCCCTTCCCAGCTTCGGGTGTGTCCAGGTGTTATGGCTGATACACTGTGTCGACTTGAAGAATCTAAAGCTTACCTAAGGGGCTCAGCAGTTCTCCATCTTGGGGTGAAAAGGACACGCCCTTACCGCTCTAGGATGTTCGTTGTGTCAGCTTGAGAAGTTTAGAAGGTTAGCTATGTGACGTAGCAGGGAGCCAGGGTCCTTACTTTGTGTTCATCCTGAGCCCGTGCAAGAGGAGGGCCTGGAGACAGTGTGGGGGTAAGAAACCACCTTCATCAGGGCGGGTAGGCTGCGTACACTGAAAGGGAAATGAGGAGGAGTGACTGCTGGTTCTTCAGAGGAGCTCCACTCTTCGCCTTCAGTTTGGTGGTCATCTCTTGGCTTCTGGTGCAAATTGTTCGCCTTCTGCCTGGGACTCTTCAGCTTTCTGCTGTAGACTCTTTGACCTTCTTTGTAGATTCTTCAGTACTCTGCCTCAAACCCATCAGCCTCCTGATATGGACTTGCATGGACACTGCAGTGAGCTCCAGACCTTGGACTGGGCTCTTCCATCTCCAGCATGCAGATACACTCTGCACCCTTCCTCATGCAACTTTGTGTGGGCCAAACTTATAATTTCTTGTACATTTGTTTGTCTTATGTTATATCTGCTTCTCTAGTAAACACTAACTGATATACCAGATTTTCATAGGCTTGGGGTCACATCTTCCCACAGCATCTTTTGCTTTGCCTCAGAGGGTCACTTTTCCCTGAATGTAGGGCCCACATCATATTCTAGGGCACTCTCAACTAAAAATCTTTGCATCATTTTCATCATCAAAGATCCTTTCCATGATGTAATTTGTAGCTTCCTGGGTTTAGGGTACTCACATACTGCTTAGGAGATGGTATTCAGTCCATTACTCCACTACCTGTGAAATTATTTCTGGCCCCAAATGAAGGGGGCATTGGATTTAAGCTCTTATAATTAATTGTTATCTCATAGGGGTAGGGACCTCCTAACCATGAACGCCAAATGTTACTGTTTCCATATAAAACCTTCTAGGGTGCAAACTTGGGGGTGAAGTTATTCAGTCGACTGAGTCTAAGGCTATTTGTTAACTCTTTTTTTGTGAAAAATAGGGGCTACTTGCCCTCCACTGAAACTTCCAATGAAAGAGGTTCAAAATAATCCCAAGTCAATTTTCCTTCAAGTAATGATAAGGACAGTAATGCAAAATGGTCAGGAGGGGATCATTCTAAGCCTATTTATGCTTAATTCAGTATTTGGTGAATCACTGCATTATTCAGTGGTAGGGGTAGGTGGAAGGAGTGGAGCAGTGGGACTTTTGAGGATGCATAGAGCGATAGAGCAAGGTTAAGAGCTGGCCATGTTAGGAGAAGAGAAGACCTTCTAAGATTCTAAGCTTAGAGAAGACAGACTCTAAGACAGACTAAGCTCTGGGTGAGCAGGGCAAGATGCTGAAGTTAATGTTGAATAAGCACTTTACTTCTGAAAAGGCTGTAGTTCATCCAAGTGAAAAGCTCATTAAACTAATGGTTGATGAGTTTCTGCCTTTTGAAAAACAGGGCATTGCTTTTTCAAAAGGGCTAGAGCTTCATTCTTGAAAACCATTTTAATTCAAATATTCTGCCCAAAACTCTCCTTAAACATGGTTAGTTAGGTCTCAGCAGTTTCTACCCCATAATATGTTTTAATATTATTACTCTATACGTATCATCTGAGTCTTAATTTTTATTTTAAAATCTCTCTCCTGGTTTTTCTTCTTCACTGCTTTTTATGTTCTTATAGACTTAGCCCTGAAAACAAGCAGTGAATTTGTAACTTATGTTCTTCTCTGCTACTTCCATCCTACTTCCTAAACCAATGAAAAGAGAAGGGGGATTTATTACTGGTCTTTTTCATAAGGGTGAGAGGGGTTTTCCTCCCAACCCCTGTGGAAACAGTGACATAATTGTATTTATGTGAAAGTATAAATATGACAATGATTTACAGCATTGCACTCTCTATTGCCTTTCCAATGACTCTACTTTTCACACCATTTTAGCAAATGAAGAATTTACTCATGTGGGGCACATATTACATCATGAATTAAGTAGAGTAAGGCCTTGATATTGCGTTTTAATTTTTAATATGTCTTGTAAAGAAATTATCTCTTTTATACTTCATACACTTTCATATTTGGTTCAAATATTAAACTTGTTATAATTACATTGCATTTAAATATGCTTTACTTTAATAATACATACAAAAGTTAAATTTCAAGGAAGTAAACATTGAGTGTAATGGAATTCTGGCTTAAGGAAGACACAGTACCACAAAGTGTGTTCGTAACTTTCTGCATAGCACTGTGGGAGCTGACTGAAAAACTATTGAGAGTAAAACTTAGTGAGAGCTTTGACAAGAGTCTATTCAGTGAAGGGCCCATCACCTCCCAATGTGTCTGATTCCTTATTAGAGTTCCACACTAGAGGAAATACTCTACTTCTTAAATTAGACATTTCAAATCACAAGTAGGAAGTCAAATACGAGTCCCTGACAAGTCCCTGTGTCTGTTTGCCGTGAAATCCTTGAGTTATTTTCCAGGGAACAGTCTTGGCAATATAAATAACACTTCTTGAATCTGAAAAATACAATGCTCTAAAATAAAGCTGACCTGCTGTTTTCCTAATAACATCTAAACTAGAAGTTGAAACAAATAAGTGATGGCTGTGATCTAGCCACAAAGACAAGAGAAAGATCTATTTTTATCTCTAGATCATTGACACATGTAATTGTGAAAATTTTGTGTCATGAAATCAAATTTATAAGGTAGGTAATGAAAAAAAGTAGGAAAAACAGTTTGCAAATAACATCACGTTTCGTATGATCCAGAGTAGGTAACAATGGGGCATACTTTGAAATTTCTTAAGTAATTTTTGTTTCTCTACTAATATTCTAAATTTATGGCAAGGGGAGTTTAGTGCTTTAGGAATTTTCAACTGAATGAATATATATTATATATTATATATATATATATATGCCACTAGATGTTAGATTCCATTGTTTATACTTAATATTGTACATAAAGTACTTTGAAAACCCACATTCTTTCAAAACATTGGGTCTTACAACAAGATTTTATTATTTATTTATTATTTTTATTTTATTATTATTTTATTATTTATTATTTTATATTTTTATTCATCTTCAATGAATAAATGAGATCACACACAGCACTAGTGATTTACATCTATAGGAAAGTAGCATCCAGACTAAAATTATGAGTCAATTAACTAGGTGTTTAACTGTAGCAATGTTCTAAGAGGAAGACTTTGAAAAAGATGAGAGTTAACTTATAAATAAAAATACTTTCGACAAAGACTCAAAAAGACTGAATTTTAAGTTAAGGCTTATAGCCATTACAAGGTGAAAGAATTTCCCACTTCTTTTACCATTTCTGCCCGGAGAAGCTGGCAATGAAAAAGGTTTTCTCACCTGGTCTAAGTGAACCTACCAGTAAAGGCGATGGGCCACCTGGATGCTCTGCAAGGAGCGGTGCAGGAGAAGTTCCACCAAAGGACCCTGAAGGCTCCATTCAAACTTGAGTGCCTGCAATAAGAGACAATGCTTTTACCATTTTTCCCTCAGGGACAAAATTTCTGGAAGAGGGCCAGGGATGTAGCTCAGCAGCATAGGGCCTGCCTGGCAAGCATGAGGTCATGAGTTCGATCCCTGGTACTAAAAAAAGGAAAAAAAAAAATTAGAAGAATACAGAACTAAAAAAAAAAAAAAGGAATACAGAACTAAAGAGGCTTGAGAAGAATCTAGGGAAAATGACATTTAGATTTCAATAAGTTCATAATACATATGATAATTTTAAATTGGAGTCCATCTAGTAACATCCCAGGTACCCATTATACAATTTGAGTTTATGTGTCTTGTTTCTCTTCCATCCTTGTATTTTAGGACTAAAATGTAATAAGTAATACCCAGTGAGTTCGTCTATGCTCTAGAGGAGAATTATTACTGTGCCTGTGTCTTTGTCTTTGTCTGTCTCTCTCTGTCTCTGTCCCTCTGTCTCTATCTATCCCCCTTTTTCTGACACACACACACACACACACACACACACACTCTGAGTTTAAGCCACATTTTTATACCACAGTACAGATAGGGGAAAATCTGGGTAGTCTCTTATTTATACACCCCTGAAGAAACACCTCAAGATGCTAACCATCCTCAAGGACGGGAAAGTTTATGAATTCCTGACGTGTGAGAGTGCTGACCATGATTTCATGAAATTTGCATAAGTTCCTAAATACTGACAGGGTGTGTGCTGTCCCAAGCTGGAGCCATAGGCATCTTTCCATACTGGCTAGTGCCGAGCTGACTAGGTCACGGGCTTTGTTTGCATCCTTTATTTTTATTTTTATTTTTATTTTGTGGTGCTGGAGATTGAGTTCAGGGCCCTGTGCATGCTCCAGGCACTCTGCCACTGAGTCACATCCCCAGCTCTAGTTTTGTTTACATCCTAATTGTGAATTTATGAGATGGGACTGAGAAATACAATGAATGTTTAAAGTTTTAGAAAATCATGTCAGTAAAAAAGTTATCATTAGTTCCCTTCACTTTGAATACACTTAACCCATAGTTTCTGTCACTTGCTGAGGCAATCCTGGGAGTTCTCTTTAGTGACTTTTAAAATTTTTTTTTATTTTTATTTTATTTTTTTATTTTTTTGGTTTTTCTCTGGTACCAGGAACCGAACTCACGACCTTGTGCTTGCCAGGCAGGCTCTTTGCTGCTGAGCTAAATTCCCAGCCCTTAGTGACTTTTTTTAGTTGTCCTGGTATGGCTGTCTCAGTGTCCTGAATCAGCTCAAAACATTTACCTCTCACAGTCACTGATTTTGGGGAAAAATCAGAAGTCCCATGGTGCTGGATCAGGGGAGTAAGGTGGATAAGACTCACCATAATATGTTTATGAACCTCCCTTCCCATTGTCTGGCACTCAGCCACAGCATTTGCCCTACTGCTTGTTACACCTAGTAAAGACGCTCAGGAAAGAGGGCTTCCAGAACTGCTTGAGAAAGTGTCAAGAATGATGGAATATGTGTGTTTGAAACAGGGGGAGGATTTTACGGGGGATGAACAGCAGTATGTTTTTATTATAATAAGTTTCCAAAAACTAAACACGCCATTTTTGATCAGCTCTTATATAACATAGATATATGAGCAGGAGATATCTGAAAATTTACTTCCATGATAGCTGTTTTTTAATTTCTTTCCATTATTTCTTATTGAACTTAGTAACTGTTGCTCTTGAATTGCCTTCCTTGCTTAAAACTTTTACTCTGATACAAACTTCCACTAAATCCCACCTTGCTAGGTAACATGTAGTCTATTTTTGTGTGTATACCATATTATTGTGAGCTCTGCTCTTGGAATCTACCTGCATAGTTACAACCTGTGGTTGATGGTATAACAAAAATAATATGATTCTAGTGGGGTAGGATTGTTATGTGTTGGAAAGGCTTAAGGTCAGGGTGGAGCATGAAAGTCTTATTGTAAACTTTACAACAAATCTTTTTAAAGTCTTCCCAGTTTTTATTTGTTTTCCAGTCACATCGCACATTTTTTCCCATCCTAGAACATGTTATGATCCTTACTTTTAGTTAACTTCATTGCAGTTCATTGAATGTTACCACCTGTGTATTTGCTACATTGCATTCTGTGCACTTCCTTATGAATTTGGATTTGCAGGAATATGGCTCTTGTAATTATTCCTGGTGCCAAGTGTATGGACTCTGGGGTTTCAAATGAGAGTATATATACTTTTGTAAAAACTTTCTCTTCTGAAATAGCTATTACATGTTGCTCGTACTTGTGAGGCATGACATAAATAGTGATTCTACAGTTGGATTATTTTTTCATCATATTACTATTCTGCCAAGTTGAAGGAAGCTGTTGCTATAAAGACCTGTAGAAGTAACTATGGTATAGCTAGTTCTACACCGTAGCTAGCTCTAAGCTTCAAAGCAATTCATGTTGTGTGTGCAAACTAACATGGTATCATATTTTATTAATAGGTTCTTTTTCATCATTCTTAGAGCTTTCTATCAATGGTCAAAATCTGAGACACCTGGAATTTAAAATAGCTTCAAACTTTGCATATAAGGAAATATCTGAGTTTGAAAAACAAAAACCCCGTAAAGATCAATGCTTTAAAATTCTTCTGACCCAGTATAGAGAAAAAATTGTCATCATAGTTTGGGTAGTCAGCCTTTTTCATGCTCAGTTTTAACATGTGTAATTTAATTGTTAATCTTTCATCATATTCAGATTATGTCTGTTGTTGCTCATATTTCTGCTGACTTTGTATTCTTTCCTAAAATTATTTCAACATTATAATAGTCAAGGTCATTAAAATGAACTAGTTGGCAGCAGAGTCTGGGTATTAGAATTACTTTTATAAGATTTATAATCAATATTAGAATTCTTTCTGGGAAAGATAAGAAACTCTAATTATGAGAGCTGCCTAGCAAGTAATTACATCTACATAACCTTTATTTGACTAATGCTTTACATATACAATCATGAAAAGATTTTACAACACATATTCTTGTTTTTCCCTGGTCTAATTAATAAGTAGATAGTTTTAAATGTTTTTCCTTTTTGGATTTTATGCATCTTTTTGTTAACGTACCCATTTATACTAGGAAATGTCTGCATTCTGCACATTGACATATAAGCTATAATTTAGTTCTTTGACTGGCCAGAATACCACTTTGAAGTTACCTGTTGTTGATTCATTGGGAATTTAAAGAGAATCATTAGTTAATTCTGGATATTTCTTGGCAACCTTGAAGTTCTTACCTGAACAAGCTGTGGAAGATACTCCAATAGTTCATCATTCAAGAGGTGGTCCAGTTGTTGGACAGCCACTTTACGAATTTCTTGATCTGGAAAACTGATACACAGTACATATGTCTATAAAGTTGGAATGGTGAGGAATAATAAATGGTGCATATCAGTGAGAAGAGAGAATGAATTTCACATCCATCATCTGAGGTAAAATAATCTATAACCAGTTAGAATAATCATTTGCACTAAGCAATTTTTTTTTCCTTTTCCATAGTCTATACTTTCCTGCAGACTGCAGTAGAAAGCCATTTCCACTAGACTTTTTACAAAAGTGCATTTTCAGGTCCTCACCAGCTTTGTTATCTATAAGATGGGGATTATGGCATATCTAAAATCTTTTCTAAAATCTTTTCTATTTCACTCAGCACTTGTTAAATAATTACCAGCTGGAGATTTGATAGTTTGTGATTAAAAATGGGATATAATATTTTAAAAATGGTTTTGGCCAGATCTGAATGAACACCAGAATTCTAAAGTATTTTAGAATAAATAGGCAAACATCTTTCACCAAGGATAAATGTCACTAGGCTGAAGTTCTTGAAGTTAATGTATCTTATCATTTTGGGACTGCATATTACTGTGTTAAGATTTAGCAATCATTGGGCACTTAATAAATGTCTGTTATTGAACTAAATCTGTGAAGGTATTTGCCATTGTTTAAATCATATTCTCAAGACAATGTTATTCTCAAATGACTCCTCATATTGCTATCATCCTGTTCCATCAGAAGATTAAATTCAATTATCTCAAAGTTCCTGGGAAGGGTCTGGACATAAATTTGGTACCATACTGCTTTGAGATGATTTTGACCTACTGCCTTGACACAATTAGGGCTTTGGTAAGAATAATTAATTTTGAATGAACAAAGAAGGAAGGGAAAAATATGTGTATATGCATACGCATACACACACACACACACACACACACAAGATAGCTAAGATAATTGTACTACTAATTTTTACTGGTTTATTGAAAGGAACAGTTAATGTGTAATTGTTTGATCAGTCTTGCATGCTTATATCTGGTTATTTGAGTAACCACTTTGAAGATAACAATATGTAATATAATAACCATTGTTAATTTCCTATCACCTTGTTTTGAAATTCTGTATCATTTTTATTGTTTTATGTTTTTGTTTGTCTTTGTTTTTGGTATTTTTGTTCTTTTCTTTTTAAAATAAAAAAGCAATTAAATGAACAAGTCTTTTTCAGCAGCAATCTAATATGTATAATTTAAAACTTGAGTAAATTACTCATAGTAGCATTTAAAAAGATGTGAATGAATAAATAAACAAAACATTAAATTCCTTTTGTAGGGAATGAGGTGAGGGTTCTGAAGATTAGCTCTCAGTAGTGTCGAAGTCAGAAAACTTTAGTCCTTAGTGTGTGGTCTCCTTTTTAGGATATTGGGGTACTGAAGGGTGAAATGAGAACTGTGCAGTTACAGAGTAAAGTGACAATGGCGTTACGCTGCATCCCTCAGCCGTCCTTGAAAACAGCTTGAAATATAACGCTGAACATGCACATGTGTTTTTCTTCAGTTAAACTAGGCATTTGAATTGCAACAAGAATTTCACTTTTAAGGTTAGTCACTTAAAGCTCTTATTTCTGACCTGCACATTATTTTCCAAATACACATTTTCTCCCTTTGAACATCCTAGCAACAAGATCTAGTGAGAACTGTAGTCCAGACACATCTGCTAAGGTCAGAAGATCTCAGCCTAACCTCATACCCAGAGAGCAGAAGGGTACAATCAAAATGCAGAGCCAGAAGATGTCAGCTTATTTTAGCACATCAAGACTTTAGAATCTCCTAACTAAATGCAATCGAGTCTAATTTATTGCTCTCAATTGCTAGATCATTTGTCTGAAGCTTGTAGACATCAAGGTCATATTGAGGGCAGTTTGAAGCTTCGCAGGGAATAGTTACTTGGTCTCCTTGTTGCCTATGTGATGACTCGTTAAGTCAGGTGTTAGTCACTCTTGCTTTGTTTTGTGGCTGTTTTCCCTTCCTGGTATGATGAGAGAAAGAAAGAACAACAAGAAACAAGAAATACAACAAAACAAAACTCTTTGATAAAACACCATACTCCTATTTCTGCATACTAGATTGCAAAGTCCATGAAGTCAGAATATTTTTGTCTGGTTTGCTCATAATGTGTTCTCAATTCTTCTAGCTTTGAAGCATAATCAGCCTCAGAAAATTAGTGTTTAACCTGCTTTTTCATGGGCCCTGAACTCAGGTACAGATCAACGGACAAATATGTTCCCCAAATCCTGGCATTTCTGCCCATCACGATGTCTGGAAGTATTTAAACATTCTTTTGGGATATAGTTGTTGGCATTTCATGGTCAGTAGCTTGTTCCTCAATGAGGTAAGGGTTACCCATATTAGTTCTCTGACTTTAGTGTGATATTTACAGGCTGAAATGTCATGTGTAATAGAAGACTTGCAACCTGTTTTGAATTTTCTACAACCAGTTTATCATGTTTCCCAATGATTTGATTTGCTCGAAAAATGCCCATATAATTCTTGCCAGTCATAAACCAGGAGACACTCCTGAGCAATTCTACTAAGTGTGGGACCACAAGTTATTGCAGGAGTGGACATTACGTTATGAATCTTGGGAAGAACAAATGTATTGTTGGAAGATTCATCAAGATGATGCCAATTTGGTCCTGACTTAGATATTTAACGGAGACTTATATTCATTCAGAAAATATTTTGTTGCAATATCATAAATGGAGATATGGCTTCACATGTGAAAATGAACAAGTCACTGAAATGGCATTATTCATGGGGCAGATCATGTAAGATGAAATAAATTTCCACTTATAAAAATGCATTTTTTTAAAAAAAAGAATAGGCTTTGCAACAGCCTATGCTAGATAAGTTCAACTAAGTTTATTTATCATTCTTTAAATGTTTGTATCAGCAATGTTATATTATCTAATATAGATCCCCAAGCATGTCTGCAGACCAGGGAAGGAACAAAACATAACTCTGGCTTACTTGTTAAGCATTTATTTTCCCTTTTAGTTGAGATAACATCTGATTCTCTGGGATATAGGACAAGACTGCAGACCTCACATAATACAACCCACATAGTAATCATTAAGGAATTACCTTAAACTTGAACACAGCCCATGGTCTGGTGAGAGTATTGAAAGACAAAGGAAAAAAGATTCCTGGAGGACTAAGACTTTTACCATTGCTAGAAATTACAACATGTGATCAAAAACTCGGAACGTAAAAAGATTAAGTAAGATTAAAGCATCAAGATAAACATTCTAAAAAAGATTTTCCATGATACCATATCTTGCCAAAAATGTAAACACCAGGTTTGGGGTCAAGCAGAGGATTATGGTGAAATGGCAATGCCTAGGTGTTTAGGGAGGAAGACAGCCAAGTGTTAGGGTAATTCTGGCTCCAGTGGAGGCAAAAACTAACCAGTACCCAGGAATTACCTCATAACAGTGGCTTTTAAACTTTTAAAAATTATTGAAGACTACAAAGAGTTGTGTTTAGATCCCTTACATATATCCTTAATTGTCAGAAATAAAATCAAGATATTTAAGAGATATTAATTCATTCAAAATAACATTAAGAAACCCAGTTCATCCTAACCAAAATATTATATTTCTATGAAAAATAGTTATATTTTCAAAAACTGAGGGAATATTTAGGGACAAGTGATATTGTTTTACATTTTCACACATCTCTTCGCTGTCTGGCTCAATAGAAAAGACTAAAGTTTCTTACCTGTTTCTACATTAAATCTGTCGCAATAGTAGGAGTCACGTAACCTTGGAAAACTCTACACTCAGAAGCAAATGAGTGTGACAAAGGCAAAGGACACCCTGTGGAAACATTTTGGGCTTGGTGACATCACCATAGACATTTTGGGAACTCCAGACCTCACTGTGAGAGCATGAGATATACAACCCCGATTTGTACGTGTCCCTGCCTGGGGGTGGGGGCGGGGATAGCCAAGAAATTCACACCAGAGGTCTGTTTCTAAGATAGCAGAGCATTAACCTATGTCTCCCCTGAGTACGAACTGGTTTGGAAGTCATCTGACCAACGAGATTTGCAAATTGCCTTTTATTTTCTCTCTTCCCAAACCTTTACAGTTCTTCTCTCAGACAGCCAGAGGAACACCACAAAGAGTCAGGCAAACTACGACAGGGCCAGGGGTGTCACGAAATGAAATTTCAACAGAAAAATATGTGTTTCAACTTCTTCCAGCTGACTTATTATTTTTTGCCATTTCTGTTCTTTTCTTATTCTCTGCCTGTACCATTGTTTTTTCTCTTTTGTTCTTCTTTTTCTAGTTTTAAAATTATATAGGAACAATATCTTATTCAAAGAACTTTTGAAGTGATAGGTGAAAGCTTAATGTGATATAACAAATATCGACCTTTAAAAAAAGCAACCTGGAGTAAACTGAAAAGCAATGAAACCTGAGATCAAATTTAAGCATAATAGAAATGTCAGCCTTCAGAATGCACGGCACAAATTCATGCAGAATGCCACAAGGCTATTCACAGTTAAAAGCCTCAGTGTCAGGTTAGAATTAGAAAACCATTAGGCCTGCAGAACTGCTTCTCCAATAAGTTTTGAGTCTGATGACACACAGAATCAGTTAGAATAAAAATATCAATATGAATATCAGTGCTATGTGTCTAGTACTGAAAAATATCAGATCTGACAGAAGAAATTCTTTTCAAGAAAAATGATGAAAAAAAGTGTTCTTCAGGGTTATTGTGATTTCTACCGAATAACTGGTGTTCTCCCAAGGATTTTTACATGATTATAGAATATTTGAACCCAAGGAAACTTGGAAACCTAGTCCAGGCTTGCTATTATGTAGATGAAGAAATCAGAAAATTTAAGCAATTTTCATAAGGATATTTGTGGTACTGAAATGAGAATCCAAATTATTCAGGAGACTAAACCCTTTTGATATTTTGACTAGACTTTACCATGTCATTTATATAAAATCACAAGACTAGCTTGAGTGTGTTATTTATGTATTGCATTCTA